GCCCGTGTGCGGCAGGCTCATTTCCCACGACCCAGGAAAAGGAGCAGGATGGCATTCGTGACATATCAGAACTATACCTGCAACCTCGATATTAGATCCAGATGCTGTAACTTCTAAAAGGCAATTTTACAGCATAAACAATGAAGTGAAGTTCCAGGATAATGTGACTGGAGGGCACGAAGCACCCAGAACCGAGGAGGGCCTCACGTTGGAAGGCAGATGCCATCACCACTCACCTGAGCCTGGCCCCTCGGCACCTGCGGAACCCCAGAAGCAGTGCTGACCAAGCAGCCCCGGGTTAGAGCTGTCCTGTCACACAGGACTGCTCAGTCGGCCCACAGGTGACAACTCCCCGGCAGAATTGTGGACAACGAGCGGAAGGGATCTCAGGGTCCTCCAGCCCCGTGGGGCTCCCTGTGTGGCTGCGAACGTGTTTCTCTCTTCCTTGCCTGACATGGCCCCTGCCTTCCTCTGGCTGACACCAGAGAGCCGTCCTCATGCTCCCTGCCGCAGGCGAGGCAGGTGGTACAGGGGAAAAGCCTGCAGATTCTATGGCTTCATTTTCCACAGGCCTGGGCCCTTGGGGACTTCCAGGGAGGAATACAGTGTTTTGGCCAGAAGTAAGCGGACAAAGAGGATTCCTCCCCCGGGGAAGAAATGGCCCATGGTTGGGGCCAGGTCAGGGGAGAATGTGAGGTCCTGTGGGGCTTGAGCCCCTGGCAGAATGCCAGACCACCCGCATGTCTCAGGAAGGGACAGCTCTGCAGGCTTCTGTCCTCTGCACACAGCCTTGAAAGTGTCTGGGAGCTGCTCAGACAGAGGGGCCTCCAGGAGGAAGGGCATGGCCAGAGATTCTGGGTGGGCCTGTGGGAACTGCGTGCCCCTCCCCACGGGCACCTCCCTGACCCAGGCCCCTGCACCACACAAACCTGCCACCCCCGCTGTACCCCCTGCATGGGGGAGCACCAAGAAGGACTGAGATAGAGTTTTCCACTGTGCCAGTCACATGAGCGCTCCGATTCAGAAATTAAGTTGTTATGGGAGAATTTAACTACTGAGTTGATGGACTGCAGCTGCACCTGCCACACACAGGTGGGGGAACTGAAGCTCAGGGCGGGCAGGTGAGTAGCCAAGCCCACCAGCGAGCAGAAACAGAGGCAGAGCAGACCTGGACCCGAGTCTGTGAGGTTCCATGTCCAGTAGGGGAGAGCACCAGCACGCCCAGAGGTCCCAAAGAGGGCCTGTCACACTCCGAGGGGGTAGGGAGAGAGGAGAGAGCGTGCTTTGTGTGCCAAATGGAGTAGCTGCCAAGATATATACCAGGGAAAAGTAAAGTACGCAGTTGCTGTGCTCAGTGCTTATAGAAATAAATCTGGCAGACACAAGAAGCTGATTGTCTCCTGGAGGAAAGTGGGCGATGGGGACACAGGTGGGGTAGAAGACTTTTTTTCGTGTGCAACCTTTTGTACCTTTTGGATTTTGAGTCCAGAAAATATATTACTTATCGTAGTTTTTAAATTATAAGCTTTTTAAAAAAGAGTGACAGAGAGTCTCCTTGTTCAACCCTCTTGAATGTGATGGAACAGACTCCTACTGAGTCCCCAGGGTGTGCCAAGCCCCTGGTGGGCGCTGTGGGTTATACCATGATGACAGGCTGCTGTCTCTACCCACCAGGAGCCCACTCACCCCAGACAACCCAGGGCCACAAGGCCAGGCGGTGGGATAAGAGACTATAGGGCTACCGCAGCTTTTCCCTGTCCCGAGTTTGCCTGGCCACCCGGCCACCCTGGGCTGTGAGCCTCCATTGGTGAGGGGCGAGCATCCCAGGGCCAGCCTCTGCGGGCCTGACGACCCCAGGGCGGTCTGAGCCAAAACTCCTCGGGGCCACACTGCTCCTTCCCGGCAGAGTCTCGGGGACAGGGCAGTAGGGAGGAGCCTGTCTTTCTAGAAACTCTTCTATATTCCTCTGGAAAGGATCATACACAATCATGCCCTTTCTTCTCTTGCCTCAAGCATTCACTTGTAACCAGCAGCAGTTACTGTGAGGGTCAATAAGTAGCGAGTCCCTGAGGGGGTTGCAACCTGGGGGGGAGGTGTGAGCAAGCCCGGGTTCTCTGGGAACACAGCTGCAATGCACCCTGGTTTAGAGCCCCCGCCGCCTTCTCCCTGCCCCCACATCTCAGCCCAGCTCCCCCAGGAGTAAGCCACAGAGCAACCTGGACATCTTGACTTTCCACCGCTTTCCCCAGAATTCACCTCATGCTGGTCCCCAACACATCAGGACAAGAGAAGTGCCTCCCGAGTGAAGCTCTGACTGGTGCCCCTGAGACTCCAGGAGGGGACGCTCTGTCTGGAGGAGTTGCAGGGTCTGGCTGTACAAAGCCAGTGACACGCTGAGAACTCTCTCAGACAACCCTCCCAGTGAGCCCCGGGCTGTCCTGGGTGCACCTGGGCAGAAGAGGGGGCAGCGGTACTACCTAGATGCAGACGTCATTGAGATCTGCTCACCAGGTAGCTGGAGAGTAGCAGAGTGGAAACTTCAACCCTGGGTGTCCCGAGCCCGGACCTCAGTCTCTCTTCACGCTGTTGCTAGAAGAGAACTTGGGGGTCACTTAGTACAAACTCGCATTTTCAGATGATGAACTGAGGCCAGAGAGGAAGAGGGACATCTCCATGGTCACACAGCATGCAGAAGGCAAAGCCGAGTCTCAAAACCCAGCCCCCATCTCCCACCCTGGAAGCCAGTGTGTCCCCTGTCGAGGGGACGAGAAAGGCAGGTTGAGAATACCTGACACCTTCTCCCTCTGGCGACTTGATTTGTCCCAAACTCGCTCCATTTCTCAGTCATTGTCCTTAGACCAGTGGTTGTGACCTCGAACGTCTTCAAGGACAGGTCAGTAACCGAGGTCGTCTAGGCCCTCAACTCTGTGACAAGATAGCGTGGAGGAATGGCGACCCTGTTGAACTAGGAAGTGTTTCCCCTTCCCCAGTAGCTTCAAACCCAGTTTTTAAAAGCATTAGTGCTTCAGATGCTTTGTGGGCGGGGAGATGGACCAAGGTGGACTGAGAGTTGGTAATAGTTGAAACAAGGCATTGGGCACATGGGTTATTAACACCACTCTGAGTAAATGTATGTGTTTTAAATTTTCCATGATAAAAAGGGCTTTTATTAATGTGCTATCAAAAAGCATATTGGGTCTTCAAGTCACATTAGATCCACAGGCCACCCAGTAGCACACTCTAAACACTTCCTAATAGCCCTCTGGTGCCCCCTCCTTCATGGCCTTCTCCTCATGGTCTGGGACAGGGAAGGATGAGGGAGCGAGGGAGGGTCGCACAGAGCCTTGGGAAGGGCTTGGAGTCGGCCATCATCAAGGCTGATGAGCATGGACTCTGGGGGTTTGGGTGGGCCCCATAAAAATGGATTCAAGTCACACCCCCTGCACTGTCTAGCCCTTCCACCCACATCCCCTGACCACCACCCCACCCCACCCCACCCCAGCCCCGCACAGCCCTGTATCTTGCTCACCTTTCTTACCACCTGCCCTGCTCCGGGAAACAAGCAAATCTCAGGTCGATGTCCTCTGTCTGCAGAAGGGCATGTATCCCATTGGGATGCAAATAAAACGCATGAGTGGCTGGGCACATTCAGGGCACATGTGACTCTAGACAGGGTCGCACTGACTTCCAGCAAGACCTGACCAGCAGGTGTGGAAAGCTCGCACTTTTGTGTGGAAGCAAGGTGGGGGAGAAGGTATGGCTTTTATTTTTTCCTTCTCCGTTTCTTAGGTTGGCCACCATGCACGGCACTAATCTCCTAATTCTAATATCTCCCCAGTTTATAAAGTGCTCTCACACTTACATCACGGCATCTTCCAACCCTGTGAGGTAGGTATTATCCCCATTTCTTAGATAAGGAAACTGAGGCCCCACATGATTACGTGACTTGTCCCTGATCAGATAGCTTGTAAATGGCAGAGTCCAGGGCTGCTGGCCCTGGTTTTAATGTTCTTTCCTCTACCCCAGATTGGGAGGGTAGCAGGAGTTCCCTGTCACTGGGCTCTTCCGCTCTCCATGCCCTGGTGACAGGAAAAAGTATGGTTGAAGTTTCTAAGTAGTCAACTGGGATGGCAGGAAATGTTGATGGGCTGCTACTTAACTGCAAGTGTGTTGCCATTTTTTAATTGAGGAAAATTGTTGGAGGTAATAGTCACTTGAATGGGTCTTCTTGGATGACGTGGACAGGGGACATTTGAATTTCTCCATGTCTTTGTGTGATGACCATACAGTCACTAAATCTCTCCTGAGTGTGCTACAGATGGAAAAGCTGGAAGGCACTGGCATTGTCCACTAGGGCTAGGGACAGTGGCTTTAGGTCTGCTATCAAATCTTAATTCTTACTTTGCTGTGTGACTCCAGGCCGGTCTTTTCCCTCTCTGGTCTTCTGGCAGCCAAACCAAGGCAATCTCCTGTGTCAGCTCACGGCGCAGGGAGGCTCCACTTTCCTAGCAACCTCCTCGAGAAGGTGACTTCGGAAAAGATTGTCAGGGACTATGTCCCACACCCCTCATTGGTTTGGAAATTTAACACCAGGGGAGCAACGGGAAGCAAGGCAATTAGGAGGAGGGATGAGACAGGCTGGTGTAGACGGGCCATCCAGCTCTGGCCCACACAGAGTTTGCTTTTTCATGCCTTTTCTTCTGTTATTTTGGCTTGTTTTTCAAACATGAATCAAACAATCTCCCCCTAGACGCAGCAGCAGCAGAAGGAAATGTTATTAAAAATGAATTTGTTAGTGGGCATGATGTGTGGATGAAGTCTTTGGGAGTTTTGGCTGCCAAATAAAGACTTTATTGTTGTCATTCCTCCTTTCCCAAGCTCCCTCCCTCTCTCCTCTCCTCCCTCCCTCCACCCCTCCCTCTCTACAATCTGCCTGTCCCTCCCCCTAACCTAACCTCCCCACCCTAACAGGATCTGGTAGAAGAAAAGTTAGGCAAACACAAGCACACTCACACCACTGGGAGATCCGAACCTCTAGCTGGCTCTCTGCTGCCACAGCTCCGCAGGGTCGGGGGAAGAGGAGGGAGCCTTGCCGGGACTAACCCAGAGCTGAGAGCAGAGGCAGGTGTGTGCAGGTAAGCCCTCAGGAGATGGGCAGGAAGCCTCCTTCCCCCAGCAAGTGTCCTCCTGCTCTGTGCAGCCAGGTTATTGATCTCCTCCGTCCTTCCTTCCACCTTTGTCTCCTTTCACACGAGCTCAGCTTAGGTCTCCTCTGCTTCTACACCCAGTTCCTCTTCCTTCTCTTCTTCATCCTCTACCTGTGTATTTGCCGCCTCCAAAGTTAAACTTTCTTGGTACATGTGTTTGTGGTCGCGGGGTTAATGCTGTATGTAGCATTTTTACAGATCAGGTATTTCCATAGAAACTGGAATCAGGAACCCATTTCTCTGCACCTTTCACCATGTCACTCACGGTCACAGGCACACACACAGCTACACAGAGGCTGCACTTTCATTCTACACACACGCACACGCACACACTGCATCTTGTCTCAGCCCCTCACACGCCTCTGCAACTATAAGAGCACAGAGAAAGTGTGCCTTCCCACCGAGATGGCAGAGCCACAGAAAGTCATGTGTGCGGAGCTGGGGCAGAGCAGGGAAGACATGCACAAGAGCCGAAGTTGGAAGGACGTCTTCATCCTTTAGAACTTAATTGGGTGGGAGGGAGAAGACAGTGGCTTTCCAACCTGCACAGTGTCTTCCCAGGAGCTCTGAATTTGTCTCACTGGTCCAAACCACTGAGGAGAAAAGAATCCAGCTTCCAAGCCCTGGAGGTCCTAAATCCCCAACTCAGGAGGCAGTTCATTTATTTTTCTGCAGGCAGCCAAAAAAAAAAAAATCTCTCTTGAAAGCCATTTCAAAATTACTCCAGGTTGGCAAGGAGTCCTTGTGGCCGAGGAAAAACGATAGTAGTTTCTTAATGAGTCAGGGAAGAGAAAACTGGAGGGGTAACTGAATGGGGCTTGTGTCCAAATAGGTGACCCCTGCCCATCTCAACAAGAGATTGTTGTCTCGAGACAGGCAGGGGTGGGCTAGAGCAGGGCCTCCAGACACAGCTGATCACAACCATCTGTGGGCAGGGGAGAGGGGATCAGAGGGGCCTCACTAAAAATAGAGAGGTCTGGACCCCTTGCTCCAGATCTACTGAATAGAGACCCAGAAATCTGTCATTATTTTAATTCAGAGGGTCAGCCAGGGCTTGAGAACCTGAATCAGGGGCCTGAGGGCGACCTGTGCCGGAACTAAAGAGCCCAGGGCCCCTGGCAGAGTTAGCTGGGCAGAACGTTGTGGTCTCCTGGACAAGGACTGTCTCATGGAGGAGCTTCAGAGTGTCCCAAATGGGCCACCTCCTGTTGGGGAGTGGGAGTTGACGTTGAGGGGACAGGAAAGATCTCCTGTGAACTCTCTCCCTCCGTCCTCCTTGCAAGCACCCGCGGCTGCATCAGGGAGGAACACCCTGGAAAGAAAGTTCTACCAAAATAGCTCCAGAAAGCTTATGTTTCCTCTCACCTGCTAATCTGCCCACCCTGAGCCCCTGAGACATGGCGCCAGGCCTCTCCCCCTGCCTTCCTGATCCCTCTCCTCCTGCCCAATAGCTGTCTGTTCTGATGGCCTCACACCGAAGATGGGCTGGACAACAAGCTCTGCCCAGGGGGCAGCCCATGTACTGGGCATGGGAGGGAAGCATTTCAAAGCTGGAGGAGGGGAAGGAGAAAGCCAGATGTGAAGGGTTGGGAGGGGAAATCGGGATCTCAAGGGGACTCCACAGCCAGCGTTATGCCTTCCCTCACCAGCATCCCCTCGCCTGCTGCAGAGCTGTGGGGGGTGGGGGGCGGGTAGTGAACTGAGGACAGAGTGAGTGGTCCGGGTGGCTGGCGGGATTCTGTGGTCTCTCCAATCAGCTGGTTCTGAGACCCCAGTGTGGTCCCACGGGCTCTAAGGGAGAGGAAGTTGCTCTGTGTGAAAGGGCTGGGGGACAGGGGAAGGGGATCCATGAGCCAGTAGCCACCGGCAAGGATCCCTGCCACCTGGTGGAGGGCTGAGCTGCCCTCGGGCCAGGCCGGAGGGAAAGAGACCCCATCACTTGGAGATAATGTCAGCAATAGCTTCATTTTCCCTGGGCATTCGCTTTACACACATTTACGCGTTTAACCCTCAAATCAGCCCAAGAGGGTTTTAATGTGTCCACTTCATAGATAAGGAAAGTGAAGCCTAGTGGAGGTAAGAGGTTTATTTGCCCAAGAGCACCCAGTGAAGAAGCAGCGTTGCAGCCTTAGGCCTCAGCGCCAGCGGCACCTGGGGCATCAGACAGATCCTTCCTGGGATGGGGCAGGAAGAAGGAGACGGTGCGGCGAGGACCAGGGCCCTCTCAGGTTGTCCCCTCTCCACCCTCCAATGGAAACTCGCTATTCTGCACCAGTGGCCGGAGGCCAAAAGCTCCGCACTGTTTACACTGAGCCTTGTGGTAGACTCTGGGGAGACCAGGGTCTTTCCACCACAGTGTTCTCTTTATTTTCATCACTGCTTGATCTGCAGCACATGTTAAAGGTATTTGTCATACTTGCTTTGACAACACCTGGGTGAGGGGGACAGGGACAGGGACAGGGACGGTTTTGTTATCCCCCTTTTACAGGTAAGGAAACCGAGGCTTCGACCAGGTTCTGTCATGGGTAGCAGTGGACGGGCTGAGAGCCTTCCTCCCTGTCTAGCTTGCACCATGATGCCCTCCTGCTCCCCCACCCCCCGTCAGGCCCACCCTTCCGCTGACTGCACCCCCAGGAGAGCGGCAGCCGCATCAGTGATGTGTTGAATTCATCAAGTCCCCATATCGGCCCTCTCATTACCTCAAGGCAACACAAGCCTTATGTACAGGCCTTGGAAGGGTCTCAGGCAGCCTAGGTGGGCCTGCCTCCCTCTTCTGCTAACACCTGGGCGGAGACCACCTGATTCTCCTGGCTTCCAAGTCCCTTCTGGGTTCAGAACAGAAAGGACTAGAGAGAGGGGGCATGCCGATGTCCATGGCCGTGGCTGCAGGGTGGGGAGGGAGGGGGCAGCCCCATTTTCCATGGCAGGGTCACTGGCTGGGTTAAGGCAGGGAAGGGTAGGGAATCTGACAAGAAAGACAGAAAGAAGTCCAGTCAGGAGTGCGGAGCAATCCTTTAACCTGAGGAGACATACCCAACCTCTCTCCCAGCCAGCCCCATTCCCGACTCTCCATGCCAAGCCAGTTGTCCTTAAACTCTCTCCTAGTGACTTGACAAACCCACGTGGACCTCAACCCAGCCCTGCCTGAGCCTAAACACTGCACCAGTCCTGGGTGTTGCAACTCGAAATGAATGGATCCATGAGCTAGACAGGTGAGGGTCAGCTCACTTTAGAATCAGTCCCTCTAGAGCAGTGGTTCTCAACCTTCCTAATGCCGCGACCCTTTAACACAGTTCCTCATGTTGTGGTGACCCCCAACCATACAATTGTTTTTGTTGCTACTTCACAACTGTAATTTTGCTACTGTTGTGAATTGCGATCGGAAATACGTGTTTTCCGATGGTCTTAGGTGAACCCTGTGAAAGGGTCGTTCGACCCCCAAAGGGGTTGCGACCCACAGGTTGAGAACCATTGCTCTGGAGACTCTGCTCTTCTACAAACACATCAGTGATTAAACTGAACCCTGGCCACGTGTAGGGAGGTTTCACGCTGTGACACAGATGGTAGCCCGACGCCTGGGGTGGAGGGGCAGAGGCAGGTTTCCAGCCCAGATCTCCAATACTGGAACTTAAATTCATTTTCAAACTCTCTTAGGAAATGCCCTTAAGGGGAGAGATTGAATTTTGAGTTGGGTAAAGCAGTCGCCGTTCCCCCCACGAAGCAGCAGCGTGCTGAGAGCCAGGGCTAGCAAACGGGGCTGCGTGAGGTCAGTGGCCATCAGTGACTAACCAGCGTCCAGTGACTGAGCGCTGAGCACAGCCAGCAGGAAGTCAGGAGGTGGGGAGATGTGCTCGCAAAAGCATAAGAAATTCAAAACTCGCACACACGTGTGACACACCCTAAGAGCGCGTATGATGGCACAGAAAGTTCTGGAAGACAGAAGCATGAGAAAGTGTGACTCCGGGCTTTGGGGGAGGGGAACTGTGACTCCCCATGGAGTACAGGGACTTCCAGTCTGTCCCACAGATTCTGGTTTCAGGCACTTAGGACACCCCAGTGCGCTGATAGGGCTGTGCTGCCGGACTTCCCTCCGGACTGGCCCGCTCCAGCGGGAAGAGGTGTAGCCCCATGAGGAAAGCCTAGAAACAAACTATTTCCTCCAGAAAGAAGCGTGGCCAGCCCAACAGCACGCACGCGAGCACACGCCAGGGTTCGGTCACAGGCTAGGAGAAAGGAAGTTAGAGACCCAGTTTCCCCGTGGCCTGGGCCCATGCAGCTTTTCTAGGGAGTCTCCCATCTGCTCTGGGAGGAGCTGGGCTGGCGCCCAGGGGCTTGGAATGTGGAAGGATCAGAGGAGTTCCTGAAGGATGGGGAGGGAGATGGGACGAGCTGGCCTGCCAGGCAGAGCTGTGACTGACCTGTGACCCTGTCATTCCTGACAATGAGGACCAGGGCTGCCCAGGCCTGGAGCCACTAGGAAACACCCCTGAGCAAAGGCCTGAGTCACCGCATGTCACAGAGTGGGCTTTTACGGGAAGCTCTGGACAAGATTTCCTGCTTAACTCAGGGTCCAGTCCTGGGCAGATGCTTTTCCTGACAGGGCAGTGCTGGGAAACAGAGCCCGGGCCAGGACTGGGAGGCCTCTCTGGGGCAGGGCTTCTCACATCGTGAAAGACTGCTCAGATCAGTTTTCTGGCTGATACGAAAATCAATAAATGCCCCAAAACAAAAAAAGTCAGGATCACAAAAATTGGAGCTTTTAAAAATGTTTCTTTTTAGCATACTAATACTTCAACTACCTCCTTAAACTTTATAGCCAAAACGATGGTGTTATTTCCAAGAAAATTACAGGATTTACAAAATAGTCATTCAAGGGGTGTTGGTCTGGCCACAATGAATGTTTCTCTTTTCCATCCTTTCACTGCATCCCCAAGACGGTTACAGCCTCAACTGTAGATAAAGCCAAGAATCGGACAAGTTCCTCTGTGACAGGAGGACCAGGGAAAATGGCTTCCTGCACCCCCGGGGAGGCTGGCCTGGGAGGAGGCCACTTTAGAGGGAGGTGGAGAGGCAAAGAGGCTGCAAGCAATCTCTTCCCTTCTTCCTTCTAGTGTGCCTGTCTGTCTGCCTTCCCTCCCTCCCTCCTTCCCATGCTCTGTGTACTATATAGAGGGTTTATACATGCACCCAGAGCACAGGCAAACATGAGTTTGCTTATGTGTATGGTACAGGAGCAGTGTATGTGTGCGCACATAGGCTGGGAGTCAAGGGTGTGTGTGGAAAGTGTGAGAGACTCCCTCCAAACCTCCAGGGTTGAGCTCTGCCTTCTGTCCTAGTTCTTTTTATATTCAGCTCCTTCTGAGCATCTGGCCCTGGACTATTGTCTTTCCTTGAGCAAAGCCAGCAAGAAGACAGCACTGAGTCACCCACTTCCCATGCAGGGAGGAGTCTAAGCGGATGCGGGCTCAAAGGAAAGAGAGCGGTGGCCTGGGACAGAGGCGATGATCACAGGGTATACATACAGCCCAGTCCTTCTCAGAGAACCCCAAGAAGGCTGCATCCCCAGGATGTCCCAGATCCCAGAGGGGGTTAGGCAGACACCACAGTTGTGAAGAAGCAGCAAGAGGGGCCAGGAGAAGCAACATGGGTGTGAATACCCTGTCTGGAGACCAGAGGGGGTGTCACATGGATGAGGGACCTAGGGAGGGGATGGTGCATAAACTCACCGCCCCCCTCTGGCCCCTTCCCCACTAGGACTGGGGAGAAGCCTATGGGAGCTGCCACTATGTGTCTACAACCCTGGGTCTACTGCTAGTTCCCCAGCTTAATTCAGCTAGAACCACATGGCACTATCTGAAGGGTCACTGGGGCCAATGGGAAGGGCAACCCCAAAATATCCCTCAGGAACCTACCACTATGTCACTGAGGCTGGCAGGACATTCTGGTTACCTCAACACCACCAACTCCAATAGACACCAGAACAGTAATATCAGGTCATAAGAAATGATAGTGGTTTCCCCACAGCTTTTGATCCCTTCCTGCTTAGTTTCCCAGAAGCCTCCACACTGGAGGAGAATTCTCGGTGTGTGTCCTGCTGGCAAAGACCAGTGTTCACTGAGCTGAGTGTGGTGGGTGAGGGGCAAGCAGGGCGACACGTGCGAGTCTGCAGGGCTTCCTTCCTTTCCAAGACCTCCACCTGCCCCAACCTGGAAGGCAGGAGACCTGGGCCTTTGTCCTGGGTCTGCTGTTAAACAGCTTCCTGGCCTTGGGAAACCACTTCTTCTCCCCAGGACTCAATTTTTCTAAACAGTAGCATCTGCATTCATTGGTGGATCTCAAACCAGTTTTCAGCAATGCGACTTTATTTTTCAAGTGAATGCTTTGGAAGGATATATATATAGGTTGACAGAGGAGTGAGTTGAGGGTGCCCCAGGGCCTTCCCCTTGGCCTCCCTCCCTCGGGGGACTCCATAGAAATGGGGACACTGTTTGAAAACTACTGAGCTGTGTGATCTCTAAGGACACTTCCAGAATGGAACACCCTAGGACTTTGGTTCATATATCCTGTCATCCCTCTCATAAGGACAGGAATGATTTTCTTATGCTGCAAATAGGGCAACTGAGGGCTAGAGAGCAAGGGACTCCTGATTCACAGCCCAGTGGGCTCTCTGCCGAGCCGGCTCATGCTCTGAGAACATGAGAGGCTTGGTCTCTGGGCAGGGAATCCAGACCCTCAAGCCCTTGTTACTGTCTTACCTGCTAGATACAGGCAGACAAGGAAATGCTTCCACAGGTCCCTCCCGCAGCTCCTTCCCGCAGCTCCCCTGGAGCCGTCCTGGCTACCTTGAACTGCAAAGACATGGCCTCTAATTGCGGAGGCCCAACAGGCTCCTGACCTCCCGTGTCTCCTCCCTGCAGGTACACCATCTGGACCATGAGGTCATCTCTCTCCTTGCTCCTCCCACTTCTCCTCATTTTGGCCTCAGTGACCAGAGGTCAGCCAACAAGACGACCGAGACCCAAGCCCAGGCCCAGGCCTCGGCCCCGGCCCACACCCAGCTTTCCTCAGCCCCATGAGCCATCGGAGCCGACAGACCTGCCCCCTCCCCTCCCACCAGGCCCTCCATCTATCTTTCCTGACTGTCCCCGGGAATGCTACTGCCCCCATGACTTCCCTTCTGCCCTCTACTGTGATAGCCGGAACCTTCGCAATGTCCCCGTCATCCCACCCCGCATCCATTACCTCTATCTCCAGAACAACTTCATAACTGAGCTCCCAGTGGAGTCCTTCAAGAATGCCTCAGGCCTGAGGTGGGTCAACCTGGACAACAACCGAATTCGCAAGATAGACCAGAAGGTGCTGGAGAAACTGCCCAGCTTGGCGTTCCTCTACATGGAGCGGAACCAGCTGGAAGAGGTGCCCTCCGCCTTGCCTCGGAACCTGGAGCAGCTGAGGCTGAGCCAGAACCAGATCTCCAGGATCCCGCCGGGCGCCTTCAGCAAGCTGGAGAACCTGCTGCTCCTGGACCTCCAGCACAACAGGCTGAACGACAACGTCCTCAAGCCCGACACCTTCCACGGCCTCAAGAACCTCATGCAGCTCAACCTGGCCCACAACACCCTGAGAAAGATGCCACAGAAGGTCCCCACCGCCATTCACCAGCTCTACCTGGACAGCAACAGGATCGAGACCATCCCGAATGGGTACTTCAAGGCCTTCCCCAACCTCGCCTTCATTCGCCTCAACTATAACAAGCTGTCCGACCGGGGACTCCCCAAGAACTCCTTTAACATCTCCAACCTGCTCGTGCTCCACCTGTCACACAACAAGATCAGCAACGTGCCTGCCATTAGCAACAAGCTGGAGCACCTGTACCTGAACAACAACAGCATCGAGAGTGAGTGGGGTGGGCGGGGCCAGGCCACCGGGAGGGAGGCTGGGGACCCACCTCAAGCTCTTTCTCAAGAGCCCCAGGGTAGGGGTGTGCAAAAAGCACCCTGTTTGGCACTGGACTTCCACTCATGGCCTTACCACTCGCTCTCTGTATGACCTTGGACAGCTATCTGGCCTCTCTGGGAAGTTTCCTCATCTGTAAAGTGAGAATGGTAGTAATACCTCTCGTTAAGTTGGTAGGAGGATGTAATCACTGAACATGGACACAGTGCCCAGAGCACCATGCTTGGAGGGTACTCGCTTCTCTTCCTCCATCTCTTCTCGTCAGCCCCAGCTTCTCTGCCCTCCAGATCTGTAGGTAAGGTAGACATGGAATACAGTCCTGGACATTCTCCTAAAGCAGAACAGTGACACTGACATGCCCACTCTGAGTGTCCTGGGTCTGTCCGCCGCACACACCGGCAGCCGTGAGATGCAGCACCCCCAAGTCTGCGCCTAAGATTCGAAGCATCTGTGAAAGGTACATGCAGACAGGCAGCTATACAGGGTGGACAAAAATAGGTTAATAATCATCAGTAATATAATAATAACTAAAGAATAACACAAGAACAAGCTCTGTTTTGTGTACTCACAACTGTAGACCTGCTTTTGCCCACCCCGTCTCTCCAAGGTCTGGTGAAGATGCGGCAGCCAGAAAAAACGCCGGTGTGTGGGGCTTTCTTTGTTGTTGTTGTTGTTGTTGTTGTTTATCCTCACCCGAGGACATTTTTGCATTCATCTTCAGACAGAGCGGGAGGGAGAGAGGAGGGAAGACAGAGAGAGAAACATCAATGTGAGAGAGACACATCGACTGGTTGCCACCCATACAACCCCAACGGGGGCCATGGACACACTGCAACCGAGGTACATGCCCTTAGAGGGAACCAAACCCAGGACTCTCTGGTCCACAGGTTGACGCTCTAACCGCAGAGCCAAACCAGCCAGGGCTTGCTTTTTTTGTTGTTGTTCTTCATTATTGATATTAGAGAGAGAGAGGAAGGGAGAGGGAGAGAGAGATAGAAACATCAGTAAGAGAGAACATCGACTGGCCGCCTCCTGCATGCCCCCCACTGGGGATCGGGCTCACAACCTGGGCATGTGCCCTGACCAAGAATCAACCGGCGACCTCTTGGTACATGGGTCAATGCTCAACCACTGAGCCTCACCGGCCGTGCTGTGTGGGGGCTTTCTGAGTCTATCTGGAAAGCTGAACTATTTAGTCATGTTAGACAGTACACTCAAAGCAAAATTTGCCTAAGCTACATTTACAGGGTCCTGGGCTAGGAGGTATCAACTGCAGCCCAACAGAAGAAACTAGAAGTTGCGATTTTGCTTCCATCAAAAATGTCAGCTCTGAGCAGAGCATCAGCAGAAAGGCTTAGAAACAAAAGAGAGAATATGATCTGGGCATTGAACAGAATCAGGCTACACCCGCACAAGGAATGCCACAGCTGCAGGGATGAGGGGGCCACAGGGAAAGAGGCGCTCCCCTAAAATAATAATGGGAACCCTTAGTTTCCCAGCCAATGGATGAGAGGGAGGTAGTTGAGTTTCTACAATCTTGAAACAAGTGGTGGAGAGAACAGACTTGCTCACTCATCTGGAATCATTACACAGAGCGAGAGAGGGCTTTTAAAAGTCTGGCAAGAACCCTGGCCGGTTTGGCTCAGTGGTTGGAGCGTCGGTCTGCAGACCAGAGAGTCCCGGGTTTGGTTCCCACTAGGGGCACGTACCAAAAAATAAAAATAAAATCTGGCAAGAAAGAAGTTCAGGAAAAGGGAAAACTGTCCAGTTTGACCCTGCAGAGAGCGAACTGGAGCAACCCCCCACCCTACCCCACCCCGGGTGCTGCATCGGCTGAAAATAGACAGAAGGGATACCTAACAAGTACTGACAGGCCATCCAGGGTTGGGGAAGATCAGGGGACAGCCAGCCTCCCGAGGGTGAAGTCAGAATAATCACACACCCTCTGACCATGTCACAGATCTAGGAACGGAGCATCAGGGTAGTCGGGTGACAGTCCAACGTGACAAAGTCTGTAAGAAAATCCATCTCTGTCAGGGCTCTTCCTGCTACTCCATGGTGAAGCGAGAAAAACAACGGCCCCACAGATGATAAATGAGACAAGTCTTACGAGAAATAAAAGTTCACTGAGAAGATGATACACCTGACGTCATCCAACAAGAGGTGGAGGAGGAAATGAAATCCTTCCATTTGAAAGCCTAGACTCAGTAGTCATGTCAGAATCCATAGGCCCAGCACGTCCCACGGACCCTGTGCCCTCCCCAGACCCCCTTCCCTTCCTGTCACCCCTGTTTCCGTCCATGTGACCATCTTCTGTCCATCCACAAGCCTCACATCCAGGTCACAGGAACCTCTCACATCCACCTGCCGGCTTCAGACCTGTCTCACCCCTTCTTTCTCCACACTGGCTGCCTTTGCTTTTCTTCAGTACAAACCTCATCACAGGCCCCTCCCGATCAGACACCCAGGGCACTAGTTTATATATCCCACCGTCCCTGTCAACACGACAGCCCTGCTCCATACCACTCCTCAGACTGCAGACCAAAACCCCAACCCTTGGGGAAATATTTGAAAGCCGACCATAATTTTTGGCCACAGCTCACCTTTGCAGCTCACTGTCCCTGGTTCATCACCTGGTGCTGTTTACTACTTCAGGACGCTTCTGTGACCTTTTTGGCCTCCACAAGTCTATTCAAATAGAGTTCCTCTAGCAGCACCCCATCCCCCGGGCCTCCCCCTGCTATCATCCTACCTCTGAAGGTTCAGCTCAAAGCTCCCTTCCTCGGTGACTCCTCAGAGTGAATTTCCAATAACAACGGTGGGTCAGTTCCAAGTTAATTAACTTTATCATGAGTAAACTGGGCCTGGAGGTACAGGTCAGCTCACCTACAGTCACACGTTCCTAAAGCCAGCCGGTTTCAGCGAGAACTGGAGTCCGTACTCTCAGGCGCGCACCCGCTCCTCCCTCCTCTTTGCCTGCCCCCCCCCTGCCCCCCCCTGCCCCCCCCCCCCCCGTCTCTCCTGCTCACTTCTCCCCGTCTCTCTCCGTAGAGATCAACGGGACCCAGATTTGCCCTAACAACCTGGCCACCTTCCACGACTTCTCCTCGGACCTGGAGAACGTGCCACACCTCCGCTACCTGAGGCTGGACGGAAACTACCTGAAGCCGCCCATCCCGCTGGACCTCATGACGTGCTTCCGCCTGCTGCAGTCCGTGGTCATCTAGGCCGTGCTCTGCCCTGGGCCCCGCTCTCACGGCTCTGGGATGCTGGTGGCCCGGCGCTTGTGCCCGCCACCGTTTTCTCTGTCCCCTGTCTTTCTCCCGGCAATGCCTTTGTCCCCCGCCTCCCTGAGGCAGGACCAGCCGCGCACTCTGCCGCACCCAGCCCAAAGACACCCACTGCACACTCACACTCCTGGCCCAGAAGCACGGATGTCTTTCCAGAGATGTCATAGTCCCTTCTCTCCCTGCTCTCCCCTGTCCCTCCCGGGTAAGTCTGGGCCTGGACTGACATCTGGATCTCGGTCCCGGTGAAGCAAGAGAAGGGTTGGGGGTGGCCCAGAGGTGAGGCTCAGAAAGTCCTGCAGGAGACTCCTCTTTCGTGCGCTGCTCTGACCCCAAAAGACCCAAGCACCCAGGTCCTCCGGGCCCAGAATCTGTCTTGCCAAACTGCTGCTCCACCACCTGTCCCCTGGCACCAGACATGGCGCTGGCTCTCTGCCGGGTGTGTTCTCCAGAAGGAAGGGAAAGGGAGGGCAGGGGGCAGGGTTCCCTCGAGGGCGTGCCTCTGGCTTACACTTCACCCGGAGGACCTGGGACCCTCTTTCTCCAGGGTGAACACCACTCACCCTCCTAACTGGGCCTCTTTATCCCAAGAGGCTGAGCAGAGAGGACCAGGATGGGAGAAGAATGGCTCAGGAACTGGGAACTAGGAATGAGCTGGGGGAGGGGGTGTGCCCGTGGGGTGCAAATGGGTCCTGCAGCCCCCTTGGCCACTCTGAACAGGAGGCCGAGTGCCTGGGGAACACAATGTCCGCGTCTGCCATCCGGTCCCTACCAGTGTGGATGGCCCCGTCTGTCCGGCCCCGTCGGTCCAGCCCCAGAGAGGTTCCTGAGAAACCCCGAGGAGAGACAGGGCCCCTGGAACTCTATCAGAAGCCTCTCCCGCGTGTGCAGATTGGCTGCACTCGGAGACGGCACATCAGTGACACCTGGTGGCTGATGCAGGACACAGATGGTTCCTCCTCCACCTCCCTGGGGTGGTTTTCCAAGGTCAGGAACGTCCAACCTGAAGAGCCAGGGGCCATGTCATGGACTCTCTCTCCTCTGGGGTCTAAAAGGCACAGAGCTGCAGTGGTCCTGAGTTGGGAAAGAAGTAGTGGTGGTGGGACGGCGGGGGGAGATGTTCCATCATGGCAGAGCAATGGTGGGAAACTTCCGGAACCGAGGTGAGGATGTCGTCTGTTAGGGTTGCTGTCTGACCCTGCCATGCCTTCTGTTCTCAGCTCCCACAACCTGTAACCCTCCAAGGCCCCTGTAGACCTTGCTCCAATGCAAGACAGTATCACCCCTTCCCCTGCAGTTATTTATTCCCTGTGTGGACTGTCCCAGCCCCAAAGCTCCCCCTCCCTGCCTGGCCCTGGGGCTGCGTGGCTGGCCTCAAGGGAGCCTGGGCCGCAAGGGCTGACCCGCCTTCACCTCCCTCTCAGCTGCCTCCAGGGGATGCTCCTCTACAACCCGAGTGTGTGTGTCCGCGGGCGGGGTGGATGTTCTGGAAATGAGTAGTACGCAGAGCCTCCCCTCAGGGTAGTTCTAGAAAAGGTCCAGAGATTTTTAAGAAATCGTCTTAAGCTAGACCCCTAACTTCAAGAAGTTCCCATTATACTCTTTCTCGTCTTTCTCTTTTGCTAATTTACAGAAAACGGAGCCCGGTTTACCCTGGGCTCCTCCACCACGCTCCCACAAACTGCCTCGTCCTTCCTAGCTGCAGCTGGTTAGTCCAAGGCTCCTGCTTCGAGTCAGCATAGTATCGTGGCTGTAAGCAACCTGGTGCTCCGGCCTGGATAAGCCCCCTCTGCTCCTTACTCACACCTTCCAACCTCAGCCCCTCTGATGAGGCCCTTGGGGACACAGCTCCCGGGGCTCCGGGAGGGGTCAGTCCCCTGCTCCTGATCACCCAAACTTGTTTGTTTTAGCAGCAACACAACTGCCCCATCCAGAGTGTCTGCTCCCTCCATCGCTCCCTGCAGCTGTGAGCCATAGAGGGTTCGAGTTAAACTGACTTTACAACAACCCCCCTCCCCCATACACGCACAGTGTGCCGATTCCCCTTGGGTTTCAGGAAGCCTCTCCTCCATCACTACTCCATCTCCAGAGCTGTCGGCATCCACACGCTGTGTGAGCAGGTGTGTCCGTGTACTCTGCACACAGCTGTTCCGGAGGACTGCTCACTTTGAAACAACTTGCACATTCCAGCACGCTTCACAGCAGAGGAAATAAAGGAACATAAGAAACACCCTGCTTGAACTTGACCATGTGAACAGGTCCAGAATAATACCTTCAAGTCCTTTTGCAGCCCCTCCTCCTGCCTCCACCTCTCTGTCTTGCTCTGAGAAGAGGGGTGGAGAAAGGGCCTTATTCTCAAGAAATGCTAAGTAAACAGTTTCAGTGTGTTTCCTTGGTGAAGCCCCCCCACCAAAAAAAAAAACAACTTACAATGCTCATGAAAAAGTATGCCTAACCTCAGACCAGAAATCTGACAGCTATATTAGAAGGCCAAGGGCCCAGGACTTCTAACCCATAGACACAAAATCATTGAGAGTCTCCCAAGTGCTCAGCACTGAGCCAAATACGGAAAGACGCAACACAGACACTGTTCCTGACCCAGTGGGGTCTGCAGCCTAGTGCAGGAGACGCCGTGTGAACCAAGGCAGCGGCAGAGCTGTGGAAAGGCGAGAACACAGGGCCACCTCCTCTGGAAGGAGTTCCAGGCTGTGCAGATGTTCACAGAAGGGCGAGAAGGTCTCCCCAAATCTCTTCAGATGGAAGGCTCTAGAAGTAGGCGTATGATCCTCCCAACCTACACTGTCTTCTTTAGGGTGCAGACTGCCAGACGCTACCCCTCCACTCCCACCTTGCCCCCTGAACACCTGTTTTGGTTCAATTCAGCAACTTTTCAGGAGACATGAGCTATGTGCAAGGTACCTAGCTAAGAGTTCAAGGGTAGGTAATATCTACCCCATGCCCATGAGGAATGCACAGCTTGATAAAGGGGAAAATCCATTCATTAATCATTGCATGTGTAAAGTATTTGAATAATGCCGTGTGCAAAGAGCGTGGTGGAGAGGGCCTCTACCTCTGCCAGAGAGAAACCAGGAGGGCTCCTGTCATTGGAGCTGTATCTTAGGGCTGCATAAGAATTTTCCAGGTGGTAGAAGGGGGGAAACAGCATGAGCAAAAAGGTAGGAAGGCTTGGCGAGTAGCCTATAGGGTATGTGCATGTGTGCACGCGCACGTGTGTGTGCAAGAGTGTGCGTGTGTATGTGTGTGTGTCTGAAAAAGGGAAAGGGACAGTTCCAATCATAGGGTTATGTAGCTACAAGCCCTGAGCAGGGAATATATCCCTGTTGTCCAAAAAACAGGAGGGTTCTTGAAATTTCCACTCCAACCCCCTCCCCCATGAAAGGCGCAGCAGTAGGGTCAGCTGGCGAGACTCCTGTCCCCACCGCCTGCCATGTCCATTCCATCAGCATGCCGTTGCTTCTCCTAAAGAGGGACCCGGATTACAAGGGCTTCCCATACCTCTTCCTGGGCTCTAGGGGACTGAGCATCCTGAAACAACAACGCGATGGTCAGATGGTCCCCACGCAGGTCACACATCCCACGGGCCTTCCCTGAGCACAGAACCAGAGAGTGTGACAGGCAAGTTCATCAAAGTAGAGCCAAGGCTGGGAGGGCATCCAGGACATGGGGTCAGTTTCCGAGTGATAGGGGCAGGAGGTAGGGGTTGGGGAGCCAGTGCCTGGGAGGGGAGGCTGGCTGTGCCCTGGGGGAGGGCCTTGCAGGGCAGAGGGCCCAGCAGCAGAGCAGGGAGGTGTGTGTCCGGGGAAGAGTAGGAGGGAGAGTGGGAGCAGGAGGCAGGAGGCGGACAGAGTGAAGGAGCAGTTACATCTGCATACCTCGCAGGGAATACGTGGTCTGGGGGGAGGGGAGAGGCCCTGGCTCGAGAGAAAGCAGAGGACAGCAGCCAGATCTGCCATCTGTTTCAGGGACACCATCCTGGCTCTGGGGCTCTTTCTCCTTACATCCAGCAGAGACCTCTCCCTGGAGGAGAAGGAGGGGCACGGGAATGCGCACTGCTCTGTGACCAGGTTCTCGGGCTGGGCACGCCTTCTCCACAACAGCTAGTGTCCAGGAGCACTACAGGCCAGCACGGCCCTTCGGACCAGGCCATTAGCTCTGCCCCTTCGCCACGTGTGCCAGGCAGAGATGTCTGCCAAGGCCATCTGCTATGAGGGCCCCAAGACACATGGTCTCAGGACTCCCGGGGAGGAGGGGAACAGGAAGAGTCCTATGAACCAAAGAGGACTCTATGGCCTGAGAGTCAGGACATCTAGGAACTTGCCTGGGCTCTGTGTGACCTTGGACCAGTCACCTTACCTCACTGGGTCTTGTTTCCCATCTGTACAAGAAGGGGTTGGATTAGATGATCCTCATGGGGCCTTGCAGCTTGGATTCAGTACCTGGTCACGGGGAGGGAAGAGGGAGAGGAGCATCACTGAAGAACCTGGGCAGACATGCAGGCTGGCAGAATCCTAGGGACACACATCCCCCCACCCCACCTTCACCAAGGACTGCCCGGCAGAGCCTGTGGCACCAAGCAGAGTCTCTCCCCATGAATGTCTCAGGAGGATTCTTCTCAGTCCCCCGAGAACCCCACACAGTGCCTTCTGGTGTTGTGATCAGTCCTCTCGGGGGCCCTACCTCAGCGGATTCAGAGAAGGTATTGGCCTCACCGTCATCACCAGAGAACTTGAAGTTGGCTCTAAAATCCTGCCCCATCCCCGTCTTCCTCTTTGAATCACCCAGCCTTCAGACTCTCCATCTGGGAATTTCCGTTGTTAGGATTCCCACGATGGGACTCCAGGGGATGGGTGGTGGCCAGGGTGCCTCTGCTCTCAGCCCCTTTTAATCCTTGGGTTTCATCATCACTCTCCGGAACGAGAAAAACGCTGGAAAGCAAGCCCCACGCTCCACCCCCCGCTGCTGTCTTCTCTGAGTATGACACAGAATCTGAGGGGTGGGGGCCCCTCAGGACGTGGGAACTGCCTACCCTCTCAAAGGGGATGGGCAGGAAAAAGAGATAGCAGACAGAAGCGAGAACGAGATGAGCGTGGGAAGTGGGGAGCAGTGCAATTAGGGGGTGGCAGTGGAAGGGGTGGAGGGAGAGAGAATTCCCCGGACCAAGCAGAGGAACGGGATGGGGACCTGCTGCGGAAGGAGGACGGAGAGCAGCTGGACAGCAAGAAGAGCAGTCTGATTGGCCACCCGCCTGCCTTGGCCAGCTCCCTGACCTTCCCCCGGAGCCCCACCGCACACAGCCTTTGCATCAGAGTCCACACCTCTCTGGATGCTGTGAGGCTCCTTTGGAACCAAAAGAGCATCCATAGGGTGAGGTTCATGGTTTTGAGGTAGTAGGCCCATTGGTATGCGAGTGGGGGAAATCCCCGAGCTAGCGTGGGGATTGGTGGGGGAATGAGGGCCTGTAGGTCTCCAGGCCTGAGCCATCAGAGGGGCCTGTGAGCAGCAAACTCCGTCTCAGGACTTTTCTTAAAGACTTCTTAAAGATTATATAATGTGGTTGGAGTCAGGTACTGGAGGGAAGATGAAAAATTCCTGTTGCTGCTGCTGGGGGCTTACGCCCTTGCCCAACTAAAATCTATTAGAAACGCATGCAGCTGGCTCTGGGGAGAGCCACATCACCAGAAGTACCCTGGGTGCCTCACATCCACGCTCATTCCTTGACCCCCGTGCATGCACGGATGAGCTTGCATGAACATTCGTACGCAGTGCACATCATGTATGTGCACCCGTATGTACACACACACAGATGCACACATGCATCTACACAGGGGTGTACCCATGTGTCTAAGGAGCTTTCCAGGTGTGTAGACACTCCCACGACCACACTTTTGTTTCTGTAATCATTTGTTTCTAAAAAGCTGCTCTTATATTTTATATGCTAACATCTTTTTGCATTGCATGTCCATTCGTAAGCCTAGTTCTCCTAAGTGCACTGGCTTTCCTGGCACTTGTTTTGTCTTATTTGTTTCTGTAACCCCAGAGACAAGTGCAGTGCCTGGAACATAACACACCCCATCAATGTTTGTGGAGCAAAAGGGTGAATGAGTGAATCATGTGTTTCAAAACTGCAGGACGCCTTGATGGTGAAATTTCTCTCAATCTAGTTTAGTGACTAAGTTGTACTCTGAGTGTGTGGTTGAATGCATGAATGTGTGCCCATTTATTAGAGAGCTGTGTGGTCAAGGGGACATGCGTGTGTTCCTGTGAAGAAGAGGAAATGAGCCTGCGTCTCCTGCACCCAAGTGCACATGAGAGTGAGAGAGCACAGAGACCTGATGGTGGGGGGTGGGGAGAGGCACCTTGGAGACGAAGCCCAGCCTGTGGGGCGCTTGCAGGTGCCCTCCCTCCTGCTCACTCCCCAGGCTGAATGCCAAGTGATTCTGCACCATTCTCATCCCAACCCCAGCCCCCAGGACCAGGAAGGTCCTGGTTTCCCGGAGCTGGCCCGGTGCTGCAGGAAGCAGGGACAGCGCCTGTCCCAGAGGAAGAGGAGAGAACAGCCGCGCGGAAGGAGGTTCCAATGCAGCTCTGCAGCTGGGGAACTGTGCCCTGCGCCTGGACAAGTTCCCTGAGGTCACTGACCTGAGCAGCTACAAGGAGCTCGCAGACTCCAGGGACCAGCCCCCCCTCCGCCACCCACCCCTGCCCCCCCACTTCCTCACCCCACACCTACCCCCAGTATGGACGCAGCACGCCTGCTGCGCTCCTGACAGCACATGGGAGCCGGGGCCTGGGCCCTCCTGCTCTGCAGCACAGGTGTCTCGCCCCTTCCTTCTCTAGGAGGTGGGAATTCCTGTCCCTTCATAGGGATTTGTCAATCAGATTATACCAGAAAGAGGAAAACGAAACTTCCATTTTTTTTTTTTTCTTTATTGGTTTTAGGGAGAGAAAGGGAGAGGGAGAGGGAGAGAGAGATAGAAACATCGATGAAAGAGAACATCGACTGGCTGCCTCCTGCATGCCCCTCAATGGGGATCGGGCCCACAACCTGGGCATGTGCCCTGACCAGGCATCGAACCGGCGACCTCTTGGTGCATGGGTCGATGCTCAACCACTGACCCACACCGGCTGGGCAAAACTTCCATTTCTTTCTTCACTTGTAGCAAACCTGGTGGGACTTTTCTTAGAAATAATACATCTCCCCCCATCCCCCTGCCTTCAAGTAACACTGTAAGTCAAATCTCACGGGGATAGCAGCGACGTCTTCAATTCCCTGTAGAAGAAGAAATGCCC